AATATGTTGTACTTTGAAGATCACAACTTAAGCAAAATTTAAATTATTTTTTCTATCTAATTCTTAAACATCTATTATATTGACTATTTCTTTAACTTTTCATAAAATCTAAAACTTCCTTAACAATTGATATACCGTTAGTTTACGGTATTTTTGATGCCTTTCACTTAGAGTTTGTGTGTCTTGGGCTATTTTGTAATTGGATATAATGTGTTTATGTGATGTTTTGCAGAAAATTAGTTTGGAAGCGGTTGACTGAAAAATGGATTGAAATGGCAGCAGCATCAACTGATGAAGCTAACGACAGACTGTAGGTCAATGACGACCCGTAGGTGATGCAGTGTAGGTGAAGTTCAGGGAAGTCTGACCAAGTGTGGAACCACGGAGGCCACATACGGACCGTAGGTCGAATGACAGAGCGTCCTGCACATCCATCGTTTATGATTAGTAAGGTTGAGTTCCAGTACCTGAACCACGAAGGTGACCTATGGATCGTAGGTCGATCGACGGTCCGTAGGTCCTGTCGTCAGTCAAAACCGTGCCCCGAACTATTTTTCCTTATTTTCGTTCCCTAGTTGGTTTAGGATTTAAATACTATAAATATTATATGTTTACTTCCGTTTTTGGGGTTAGACAATATTGGAGACTTTTGTTTTGCTTTTTTGGAATTATTATGAAAGCAATTATCAATTTAATTCCGGAAGTTGGTTTATGCAATATGGCACTTTGAATTTCAATTCAACATTTTGGTTTTCATCTATTATAATTGTAAGTTCATGATTTCTTTTAACCCTAATATGAATTGTGAATTCTCAAGCATGAGTAGCTAAATCCACAACTAGGGTTTTGGGAACCATGAGGAATTTACAATGTATGACTAATACCTAAGCAATTCTTGAATAGTGTTTATGCATGCATTGTTAATCTTTTCGTTTAAAGGTCTTTATAGAGGTGCACAACGTAAGAACTCCCCTCGTTCCTACTTGCATTACTAAAGGGGTAATGAATGAGAAAAAGATTAAACAACAGAGATTTAGTTAAGGATTTGTTGCTATCTAATAGTCTGACTTTAATCAGTTGACGTGAGGGTGAATACCTAACTCAATTGACACGATGACTAATCTAGGTAAAGGTAAGGGTTAGTAAAGCACACTCCCGTAGACTTACCAAGTTGTGAGTGAAAGTTCCTACTTGGATTACCAATCACTTAGGGATACCTAACTTATCAGCCTTGCATGTCAAACACTAGGATATGATTACTATTATTAGGAATACTGCATTAAGAGCGTGTGGGGAATACATATACCCTAGTTTCCATCTTATATTGATATCTCAAATTGTGAATCTTGTTTACTTGTTAAGTAATTATTCAAATCAACAATCTGTCATTTTGTTTACAAAACCCCCTTATTTACTTTTCTCGGAAATAGTTTGACTAAAAAGATATAATTGTGAGTTAAGTTTCAGTCTGAACCATATTCCTCATGGGATCGACCCCAACCTACAAGTTGGGTTCTTTATTTGGAAACGACTTGTTATACTTCTTTCGGGAGGTGTAATTTGGGCGTATCAACTTTTGGCGCCGCTGCCGGGGAATACGACTTTTAGATTAAACTAACTACATTGTTGAACTTTAGTCAAGTATTTCCGGATCTTACATTTTTGTGTTATTTTTGTTTTCTACAGGTTTCAACTCTTGTGTATGCAGAGTACACGGAGTCGAGGTGAACCATTGACCCCTTATAGTCCTGAATTGAGAAGAATTTTTGGGGAGAACGACTAATCTTGGGGTTCACAATAATCCAATTGGATAGGGTCAAGGAGATGGAGCTGAGTTTCAACCTCTTGCAGTTGTTAATGTGCCTGCTCAGGTTCAAGGTGGTCATCTAATTGGAAATGCAGAAAGGGTACATAATCCGCCAGTACGGAGGACTCGTGATGGGCCTATTCTTCTCCCTCCTGTACCTCCATGACATACATTTGTGATGACCAGCAGTCTTATGCAAATGCTTACAACAAGAGGGTTGTTTGCTGGGTTAGCTTCATAAGATCCATACACTCACATGGCTAAATTGAGTAGTGTCTGTAAGAGTAGTATGGGATGACTGAAATTGGATATGAACATCATAAGTTTGAGAGTATTCGCACCATCGTTGATTGGTGATGCTGCTGTGTGGTTTTCTGAGCTGCCATGCAATTCGATCTATACATGGGACCAATTGCATTAGGTGTTCATGGCAAGGTATTTTCTGGTGTCCAAGAAGTTGAATTACAAGGATAAACTGAATAATTTCATGACACTACCTGGAGAGTCAGTAAGTAGTTCATGGGATAGGTTCACTGGATTCATGAGGAGTGTTCTGAATCACCGCATAGATGATGAGTCACTGAAGGAGTAATTCGATAGAGGACAAGATGACAATGGAAAGGCTGTGTTAGATACTATTGCTGGAGGATCATATGGTGAGTGCACTTTTGAGGACATTGCTAAAAACTTGAGAGGATTTCCCAAAAAAATAAGGCATGGAGCACTAGAAAGGAAAATACTGGTAGGAGCATGTTTGCTGTCCAAATTGCACCAAGTCAATCAAATGATGACATTCGTAAAGAGATAGCTCAAATGAGGACAACAATTGGCTTGGTATTAAACCATATGAGTGGAAGTGCAGAAAAAGTGAATGTGGTAAATTATCTAACCAGACCTCCACAACCACCAGTTAAGAAGTATTACTATGAGGAGGATGCGAATTTAGTAAATGATTAGACGGGTGAGGGGGGTGGTGTTCCCGAACCAACACCCAAGGTTCCAACTCGAATAATTGGCGCCAAGGTCAAGGAAACTAAGGTTGGAACTATGAAAACTACAACCGTGAGGGAAACCATATCCGGGATGTGAACTTCAATCATGATAACAATTATAATCGAAACAACTATGGCAACAAGAATGAGAGGGTTGGGCCATATGTTCCACCTGGTAATAAAGAGGCATGTACTAGTATGACTCGCATTGAGGATATGATGCAAAAGATGATGAAGTGGTTTGATGCGAAGTATGAAAATGTGAAAGAAATGCGTAGTGATTTATCTGGGATTGATCAGAGGGTTGATGCCCATGCAGTGTCAATAAAGCTACTCGAGCATCAGTTTAGTCAGTTCTCCGCTATTGTGAACCCACACTAGCCTGGCACATTTCCTAGAAACACCATCCAAAATCCAAAAAATAATGGGCACTGTATGGTAGTCACTACTCGCGGAGGAAAGCATACTATTGATCCCCCCATGCAGTCTGAGGTTGAAAGAGTGATAGAAAAAGATGAAGATGAGAATGAGAATGAGGTTACTAAAACTTCAAAGGATGATACAGAGAAGGAAGTAGAGGTGACCTAAAAAGTTGTTCCCATGCCTAGACCTCCACCTCCATTTCCACAGAGATTGGTGAAAAAGACTAAAGAGGGAAAATAGCGCAGGTTCATAGCTATGTCGAAGCAACTGTCCATAAATGTCCCATTGATAGAAGCTTTGGAACAGATGCCTGGGTATGCAAAATTCATGAAAGACTTGGTGATCAAAAATGGGTTATCAGTTTTGAGAATGAGGAGAAGCTGCAACATTGTAGTGCTATTGCTACTAGCTCACTTTTGCAAAAGAAAGAGGATACTGGAGCTTTCACTATTCCTTGTACCATTGGGTTTTTACACTTTGCGAAAGCTTTGTGTGATTTGGGTGTCGACATTAATTTGGCGCCATTCTCCATTTATAAGAAGTTGGGTTTAGGAGCTCCAAAGCCGACTGCGATGCATTTACTTATGGCCAATAGAATTGTGAAGAGGCCCATTGGAGTGCTCCAAGATGTCATTGTGAAAATGGAGTCATTTATCTTTCTAGCGGACTTTGTGATACTTGATTGTGAGGTTTATTATGAGGTTCCCATCATCTTAGGGAGACCATTTTTTGCTATTGGGCGTGCCTTAGTCAATATGGACAGACGACATGAAGATTCGATTAAACAATGAGGAGGTCACTTTTAACATCTGCAGGTCTATGAAGCATGAAAGTGATCTTAAATTGGTATCTGTGGTAAATCATATTGTGGGGCAAGAATCTGAGGTGTCCATTGAAGAAATGTTAGGTGTTGATGCACTAGCAGCGGTGATGATGAATTTTGATAATGATGGTATTGATTACTATGATGAGCTAGTTGTTGCACTTGATAGGTTCGAGTTTCGTTTCAAGCCGAAACTGTTGGAATTAAACATGAAGAATCGAGACACCCCACCTGCCAAACCGTCTGTAGATGAGCCTCCAAAACTGGAATTTAAGGTTCTTCCATCTCACTTGAGGTATGTATTTTTGGGACAAAATAGCACCTTGCCCATCATTATTGCTGCTGACTTGAGTGAAGGGAAAATAGAGGCTTTGATATCGGTATTGAAGCAGTTTAAGAGGGCTATATGATGGACTATTGTGGATATTATTAGGATTCCGCTGGGCATTTTCTCTCACAAAATCCAACTCATGCCGAACAGTAAGCTAAGTATTGACCATCAAAGAAGACTAAATCCCCCTATGCAAGAGGTTGTCAAAAAGAAGATCATTAAGTGGTTAGATGTTGGAGTTATATATCCCATTGCTGATAGTAGTTGGGTTTGCCTAGTTCAGTGTGTGTCAAAGAAAGTATGAATCACTGTGGTTCCCAATGCTAAAAATGAGCTTGTTCCAATGAGGTCTGTGATAGGTTGGAGAGTGTGTATGGAATGCCGCAAGTCAAATGCATGGACTGAGAAAGACCATTTCCTAATACCGTTCATGGATTAGATGCTAGATCGTCTCACCGGTAAGGGTTGGTATCATTTTCTAGATGGGTATTCTGGATACAATCAAATCTTCATAGCTCCGAAAGACCAAGAGAAGACTACCTTCACTTGTCGTTATGGGACTTTCACCTTCAAAAGAATGTCATTTGGGTTATGTAATGCTCCAGCGACCTCTAGTGTTGTATGATGTCGGTATTTTCAGATTTGGTGGAGGACACGATAGAGGTATTTTCGGATGATTTATCTGTGGTAGGTGACTCATTTGATGATTGTTTGACACATTTGGCTGAGGTACTAAAACGGTGTGAAAAGTGCAATCTTGTGCTCAACTGGGAGAAGTGCCACTTTATGGTGAAAGAGGGTATAGTTCTGAGTCATCGGATTTTGCAGAAAGGTATTGAGGTTGATCGAGCTAAAGTTGAGGTAATAGAAAAGCTTCCACCACCCATCTCTGTTAAAGGTGTTCAATGTTTTTTTGGGTATGCAGGTTTCTATCGGAGGTTCATAAAATATTTCTCTAAAATTGCACACCCATTGTGAAAGCTACTTGAAAAAGAGTGTAAGTTTGATTTTGATGATGCTTGTCTGAGAGGATTTGGAGAGTTGAAAGAAAAGTTAACTTCAGCACCTACCATTATTTCATCGGATTGGGGGCAATCATTTGAAGTGATGTGTGATGCAAGTGGGGTGGCGTTTGGTGTGGTATTAGGACAGAGGTTAGAGAAGATTCTTCATCCGATCTACTATGCCAGGAAAACTCTGACTGTGGCTCAAAAGAACTATACTGTGACTGAACAGGAACTCCTTGCTGTGGTTTTTGCATTTGAGAAATTTAAATCCTACTTGCTTGGTACTAAGGTCATAGTGCATACTGATCATTCTGCATTGAGGTATCTGATGGATAAAAAGGATGCAAAACCAAGGTTGATTAGATGAGTGTTCCTACAACAAGAGTTCGATTTTGAGGTAAAGGATAGAAAGGGAACAGAAAATCAGGTTGCTGATCACTTGTCCATGCTAGAGGAGGAAGCTATGATCAAGCTAGAGGATGGAATTGAGATTAATGATGCGTACCCTGATGAACATGTATTGGCTGCTTCTTATGATCTTATCCCTTAGTTCACATATTTTGCTAACTACTTGGCAAGTGATTTGGTTCCGTCGGATTTGTCATTTCACCAAAGGAAATTTTTTATGTCTGATGTGAAGAAATTCTTTTGGGATGAGTCTTACTTATTTCGTGTTTGCACTGATGGAATTATTCATCGTTGTGTGCCCGAGGTTGAGAAGATGAGTATACTAGAGGCGTGTCATTCATCGCATGTTGGTGGGCACCATAGTGGTATCCGAACTTCCCATAAGATTTTGCAGTGTGGGTATAATTGGCCTACCATCCACCAAGATGCTAATGATTTCGCCAAGTCTTGTGATCGTTGCCAGCGTGAGGGAGGAATTTCAAAAAAGCAAGAACTACCAATGAACCCAATACTGGTGATTGAGCTTTTTGATGTTTGGGGTCTTGACTACATGGGTCCGTTTGTGAGTTCGAATGGGATGAAGTACATTCTTGTGGCGGTTGACTATGTATCAAAATGTGTGGAAGCAGTCGCGCTTTCAAATAATGAAGGAAAGAGTGTCACTGCATTCCTGAAAAAGAATATCTTCTCTAGATTTGGTACACCAAGGCCAATCATAAGCGATGGAGGTTCTCACTTTTGTAATAAATTGTCCAAGGTATTGCTTGAGAAGAATGGTGTTTCCCACAGTGTAGCAACCCTATATCATCCGCAGTCGAGTGGACAAGTTGAAGTGTCAAATCATGAGATAAAGAAAATTCTTGCAAAGACCGTAAATGCCAACAGAATTGACTGGTCAAGAAGGCTTGATGATGCTCTATAGGCTTACCGCACTGCATTTAAAACTCCAATTGGTATGTTCCCCTACCAACTTGTATATGAGAAGTCTTGTCATTCGCTCGTAGAGCTAGAGCATAAAGTGATGTGGGCAATAAAGAAGTTGAATTTAGATTAGGGCACCGCATCAAGTCAAAGAATTAATGAGATGAATGAGCTTGATGAGTTTCATCTAAAATCATATGAAAGTTCAGCCTTATACAAAGAGAAATGAAGAAGTACTATAATCAGAAGTTCGAAAATCGTGAATTTGCTTCCGGTGATCATGTGCTATTATTTAACTCAAGGTTGCACTTATTTCCTGGCAAACTCAAGTCTAAATGGACCGGACCATTCAAAATAACCCAAGTATTTCCACATGGAGCGGTTGAACAAGAGAACAAGGATGGAATAAAGTTGAAGGTGAACGGTCAAAGAATAAAGATCTACTTGGGGCAATCTGTGAGTGTCAATGAGGTGATAGAGGAGCAGAGTCTTGATAAAGTCTGCGTAATCAAGGTGTCTGTGTCGTGTTGCGATGTTAAATCAAGCATTTCTGGGAGGCAACCCAAGATGTACAATCCAGCCAACTATAGGAGTTTCTTTTCAATATGGGGAGTTTTTCTTAAATTTGCAGTTTTCTAGATAGATGTTTGTTAATTTTTAGTTTTAGTGTTGGCTAGATATAGATAAAATAGGGGCCGTGTCTAAAAAGTGTCCAGAAAATGTTAAAAGAAATTCCTAATGTTTGCTACGTGTGTAGGGAAGAAAAGGGAAAATCTGCAGAAAATAAGCTGATGCAGTGATCTACGGGTCCCAACGACGGTCCGTCGATCAATCCATGGACCGTGGTTGGCATCCGTAGATCCCAGGTATGTCTCTAAATTTTCACTAAGTGTCAGCATGATCCATGGAACCCATGGACGGACTGTCGATTGACTCACAGACCAAAGATGGGGTTTTGTGGGTCCAAGTTAGGGTTACAATCGATGCGACCCAGACCCCTACCAAAATAAAACCTTTCATTTTTTAAATTAACCTCCCATTTCCCTCATTTCCCCAATTGTTTCAGAACATTCCTGCACTAAAAAAGACCCCTCAAACTCCCCCTATTACATCCATAAAATCCTCCCATTCCATTTATACTCCCATTAACCCAAATCTTTCCCAAGATCCATTTCCCCCATTTTCCATGGTTTCTTCCAACTTCCTTTCCTTCACAAAAACTCATTTTAGTCTGGGTTCGGTGTCATGTTTTTGTGGGTTTTAAGAAGAAGTTTAAATCAACACACTTCTCAACTTCGATTTACTTGTAAGGTAATCGATCTCACAAAAACTTTGAATTTTTTTCATTGTTTAAATTGAAATCAACGAAGTTGTACTTGACCTCGGGTAGGAATTTGCATGATAAATTGGTGTAAACTAGTCCTAAAACTAGCCTTGGAGAGATGGTGTTTGGAGTGTGTTGCTAAAATTAACTAAATAAAGGGGATTCGATGTCTAAGTGGGTGTCTTGACTTAGGGTTTTTAAAAACTTGCTTGATTGAATGTGTAATTTGAATGATTGAAACCCTAGGAATGATAGACTATCGCAAAATATGTTGGAATGCATGTTTAGACTCAAAATAGTTGTTGATTGTCGTATTGAATGTGTTGTATGAAATTTGGGATCAAAGCCTACACAACACTGATCGACGGCCTCAACCCATGGACCGTAGGTCAACCCACAGACTGTAGTTCATGGTCCGTAAATAAACTGCACACAAAAAGTGGCTAAGTCATGAACCACGGTGTGGACTATGGTTCGTTGTTTCATCGACAAACCGTTCTGCACATCTGTGGTTCTCCATCGAAACCCAATTCTGTGACTTCCTGACCTATGGAGGGGATCCACGGTTCGTCGTTCGATCGACGGTCCATAGGTACCCACTGTGGGTCACAAAAACAACTATTGTCTAGATTTTTATATTTTTATCTAAGTCCAATTGGTATTCTAAAAAATTTTCTTGGGTATTTTTGACTTCTTTGAGTACTAAGAAATCTTCCACAGGTACCATGGCACCCAAACAAGCACCCGAGTATGCAAAGAAGGACAAGTCAAAATCTATTGCCCCATCCCGACGTCTGCTCAACAATTCCAATGGGGACGAATATGTCCCGAGTACTACCAGAGGCTTCCCTACTGCCCCCGGACAACGAGGAACATGGCCAACAGGTTATTTCATCGAGTGACGAGGTCGAGGTCACTGCCCCCAGTCTGAGGAGGGGGCTTCACCTGCAGGCGAGTCGTAGTCCGGCTCTGGTTCTAGCGGCACTTCCATGTCTTCTTTCGATACTGATAGGACGGGGGATGCCCAGTACCCACCCATCACCAGAGTTGAGCCGGTTCTTAGTGTCACCGAGCCGAATAGGTGGTGTGTTGAGGGACAGTACCAAATCTACATTGATGGAATGGCCCTTAATGAGCACCGAAAGGTAGCCCGTCCGATTACTGAGAAATGCTGGGTTTTGGCAAGGAGCCTCTACACAATGCCCTCCATCTATGCTCTATCTCAACAGTACATGTGTGATTGGATGGCTAAGATTCCGGGGAGATATAGCGAGGAAATGGTGTGTGAGTTCTACATCTCATATGTTGCCACCGTCACTAGTGCCTTTCCACCACACACCAAGGCTTTGGCTGAGCCACCTCTCCTGACTACCATGGTGCGGGGCCTATCGATTGACATTTTGGAGACCACCATCGGTCGTTTCATTTACGGCCTGACATATACTCTACCTATCAATACGGCGGAGTACGACTACAAGATGGGGATCGTTCAGGGGTGTGCTTTCAGTGACTCCAAGTAGAGAGAGTCACTACTTAGATGGATGGCCCGCCATATTGCTGAGGATGGAGAGAGCACCAAGTGAGTGTAAAATATGCAGTTGCCTATCAAAAAGGCGACTTTGAGTTTTGGGCCCAAATTTTGGTGGTCCATCGTTCCCACCAGACTGTCCCCCACACAGGCGGACAATGTCGTTACTTGGGACCAGACGGTGATGCTTGCTGCACTACTGGCAGGATTAGAGGTTGACTTCTCCCGAATCATTCTTGCTGAGATCCATGAGAGGGCCTTTCGAAGGACTATGACCATACCCTTCCCATGCTTGATCTTTTTTTTGTGCAGAGAGTCCACTGTGCCGATATGGCACTGTGATAGATTGGTCGAGGTGACCAAAACTGTGGATGTTGGATTCATCCAGAATGATACTAACCCCGCTACCCCATGTCGGAGTACACCAGTTTCCATTCTCCCTTGGGTGCTGACTTAGTTAGAGAGGTTCAGCAAGTTGTGGTGGCACATGCTGATGACATTTCCATACCTCCCACCACTGCAGATTCACATGCTCCCCCTTCCATCGCCACTAGTTAGGCTGCGAGCTCATCCCGAGCCACTCCCCCTTCAGTGTCCACATTAGTCCCTCTAGCCCAAGTCTAGAAGTTTGAGACCTAGATAGCTACCTTACTGCAGCACATGAGGCCCTGGATGCAGCGATCTGTGGAGGAGTCATACGCTTGTATGGAGCGCATGATGGACACAAAGATTCAGGCGGTCCATAAACGGCTAGACGCATTCGATTTGCGAGTTTTGGATAGTCCCGCACCTACGATAGATATCACCACTTTCCAGACGGAGTTGACTAGCCTTTGTTCTGATGTTGATGCTCTTTTAGCCCTTGCTGAGACTGCACCAGAGACCACTCTTGTTGCTTAGGTTGATGATGAATTCCCTCTTATACGACATTATTCCACCATCCGACCTTCCCCGTGCGGCTAGGAGGCGCCACCACTCTTCTGATCATACTTCCAACACTGAGGAGGCCTGATGAGCAAAGAATAAGGAGTGACAACAGTTGGAGGTGGTCTAGAGGCAGTCGATTATCGATGAGGAGTTGAGGCAACAACGGGTCCGTGAGGTTGATGTTGACCCATCTGGTTCGAGAAGCACTACTGAGGGTGTTCCCACTATTGATGAGGGTGATACTGATGGTTTTTCTATTGCTGATCCAACAGGTTCTGAGAAACCGGACCCACCCGCATCTTGATGGATCTTCGATGCATATGCGCCACAGGTTTGCTTCACCCTATGCTTTATTTTTTTTTGTGCATTGAGGGCAATTGCACCATTTTATTTCATGGGGGTGGGGTAAATGGGTTATGAGTGATAGGGTGAAGTCTGAGTAACCGAACTCATAATCCTCCCTTGGGGTTTTCTTACTTGTGTTCTTTTTCTTCAAGGGATTGTTTTACTTTTATATTGAACCGGCATGTGTAGGATTGTATGTGTAGAAGTAGATAGAAAGAATGAAAACATGATTGCATAAGAGCATGAAATGGATACCTGTCCAAAATTTTGAAATGTGCTAGATCTATAGGTTTAATGAGTTGAATGTGTGGGATCTTCATGTGACATGTTATGGAACCGGTATGATAGCATGACTTAAGCTAAAACTTGAACTGGGTGCTTCAATAATCCGATAATGAAATAATGTGCCAAGTGTGTATGAGTTGATTTTGTATGTTCATGCAGTATGTGCCATTCTAGAACTTTCCTCGTTTATAAGATAATATAGGCTAGGAATTGGGAAATGATCATAGGCCCTTGTTCAAATAAGTCCACTTAAGCATAGAAAGATCCAACCAAAAGAAATAAATGCTCCCTTTGATCCAAATGTTTGAGCCTAACAATACCACTTCTTTCAATACACCTAACTCACCTTCCCTACAAGATTGTTTTGGACCTGGTCCCTCCTTGGACATGTGCAGGTAACTTAGGCAAAAAGCCTAAGTTGAGGGTGGCTAATTCAAAAGTTACCTTAATCTTGGCCCTGGTCCGACTTCGCATATTGTGCACCTCAACTCATGCAAAATACATCAGTTGAGGGTGGCTATGACAAAGGAAACTGAAAGAAAAGGGTATAAAAAGAGTTGTGTGTAGAAGAAGAAAAATGATAGAAAAAGAT